TTAAGCTCTGAGTTGCCAACTAGCAGGATTGATGGAAATCTTCATCCCACTAAGCCCCTCACCCACCCCTCACAGGATACTGAGCAGTTTATGTCTGTTTCCCTGGAAGTTGTTCATATTGTCCTGCCACAAATCTCAGTGCTGCTGTCCACTCTCTTACATGGTGGCTTTAGCCTGCCCCAGGACTGGACCTGGAGACACAGCTGGGATCGATCTTGCTCTGGATGCTGATTTCTCCGGCAGAAGCTGAACACTGACAAACTCACCACCCCACCACCACCCCGCCACCCAGGCAGGAGAGGCTGTCTCTAGACTGATGTTAAAATTATTTTTGGGGCTCCCCAGAGAGTGGTCTTTTGCTTGTTTTTGCAGTCCCCTTTCTTGATGAATATGGAATCATTTTCCCCAAGTTGGAGTCAGAAGACATTTGAATGGAATCATCTAATATCCCATCCAAAAGCACCCTTCTTGAAAATGTGTCCAGTGTCTCAGGCTGAATGGTTCTTCAATTTTCGTATCTTGGGACTAATCCCCTATCATCATCGTTTATAAGCCTCTTTTACTTGTCTCTCGATTCCTGACTAAAACACACAGGGAGAAGAAAGTGTTCCACTGAAGACATCAGGACAAATTGCTCAGCGTTTGGAAAGTCTACCATTTGTCCTCCTCAGCCTTAACCCCAGTTTATTCTGATCTCACTTCCCCCTAACCTCTGCACTCTTGCAAAGTAAGCCTTCACAAAGCTTGCTTGCTACCATTTCCAAACATGAGCTTGAGAAAAGAAAAACCAAAAAAGGAGAGGCTAGTGACTTTGTAGTCTTATTATTATTATTATTATTTGTCTGCTTAAGAGCCCACATCTTGAACTGACCTTTGGTTATTTTCTTGTAATATCCTCTTTGTTTGGCAAACCTTTCAAAAACAACATCATTTTTATTGATTTCCAGAAAGTTTATGTTTGGTAATTTTCTAAATATTGAGAAACTGCTTATCCCCAGCTCTACTCTGCATAATCAGCCTCTGTGTATCTTCTCTATATCTTAACGACACAGCTGATGATTTCAATTTTTCTTTAGTTTTACATTAAGCTCTTAGTTTTAAGATCTTGAATACAATACTAGTGCTTATGGACTAATTTTCAAGTTTAGTTTTCAATTTAGACATTCAAAATGTTGAATATGTATCTCTAATAGGGAGATCATGGGCAATTTTTAATTTCTTCTTTTATACTTCTCTGTAGGTTCCAAGTTTCATGAGTTAGGCTAACTAATTTTGTAATTAGACAAAAAACAACACTGTTTTGAAAACAAATTTAATCATGGATTTTTTTATATTATCTACTTTGGGGTTCTGGAGGATGATAGAGTGTGATTTGGGCTGTCACCAAAACGAATGTCAATTTAATAAGACTATGGTGATGGTTGGTACTGTGCTGTCTCAGAATCTGAATGGGCACATAATGTGCTTCATTTTTAAAGCCGTGCACTGGTAGCAGGCATGTGCTGGAATTACGGAGGCAGGAAGGAATCCACGGCCATAGGATTAACAGATTCTTCTATCATGCTTTCTTTTGCTCTTTCTCTCCTCAATTATCTTTCTTGTGGTATTTAGCCGGATTGATTCTGAACCACCATTTTAACAATAGTAATACACCCCCTTTCCCTGAATCATGTGATCCAAAGTGTCTGGCGAGGGTGGGCACGAAACTCCCTCAATTTCTTCCCACCTTATTTAGCTGAGACAAAGCTGGACTTTATGGAAAAGGAACTTCCACCAGGAAATAAAAAGAAAAAACAAAAACAGACGTTTAGAAACAGACATGCTTTAAAGCATAGCCTTCTCTCTTATTTCTGAAATCAGATCTTGGCATATCCCAGTACCCACACAAATTCTGCATTGTTGGTAAGAGTCTGTTGGAAATGTTAGGATTTTGGCAATTCTTGACTATTCAGTTTTGTTACTGTGTTTTTTGCCCTCTTAGGAATTTATGTTTTCCTAAAAGAAAACATAATTAAAGAGCCCCAGTATCTGATATTAACGGACAATTGGGTAATACAACAATGAATTATTCTATGCTAAGGTCTTCAAAGAATCTGGCAAGGAATCTGGTGGAAAACTTTGCAATTTTTCACTTAATAAAGTACATTAAAATACATTTTAATTCTATACTTGTTTAATAGTAACATTTGACCCATATACTTGAAATATTAGACAAAGTGATTGTACAAACTCTTGCTGAGGTTTCCTTAACTAAATTCCAATTAAAGAATGGCCTGGCCGGGTGCAGTGGCTCACGCCTGTAATCCCAACTCTTTGGGAGGCTGAGGTGGGAGGATTGCTTGAGGGCAGGAGTTTGAGACTAGCCTGGGCAACACAATGAGTAACTGTCTCTACAAAAATAAAAATAAAAAAAAATTAGCCAGGCATGGTGGCGCATGCCTGTAGTCCCAGCTACTCAGAAGGCTGAGGCAGGAGGATCGCTTGAGCCTAGGAGTTGGAGAATTCAAGGCTGCAATGAGCTGTGATCAAGTCACTGCACTCTAGCCTGGGAGAGAGACTCTTTCTCTAAAAAGCAAACAAACAAACAAAGAATGGCCTAATAGAAATGCATCCAGGTGGCTTTGCCCACGGATGGTTTTCTTGTCCTTGACTCTGGCAATAATGACACTCAAACAACTTGTCCAAGTGTAATGAGGCCATTATCTTCTTTCTCTCCTTCTCCTCCTATTATATTTCTAGGTCTCTGGAATCCCTCTGGTCCTAGAAGTATTACACAACTTCCCTGTACATACTGAGGCCCCTCACACTCTGCCTGCCTTTTATACTGACTAGGCATGTCTGCTAATCCCAATTAATCTCTAGTTCCAATTTGTAGAAATAAGAGAAGAATAACACAGAGTCCAACCAGGTTATACTTTCATAACAGATTCTTTGCTAAATCCCTAAGGAGCTTCTAGGAAAGGAATGCAGTGACCCTTCTCTTTCTGCAGAAGAGTGGGAAGGGAAGGGGGCTTGTGTTCATGAATATAACTCCTCTCCCACCCCCTCAACTGCCTAATCCTCAAGTGGATAACCTTCCTCTCTTTCTTACTTTCTAGCTTAAGATAATCATATACATCACACACGTCAATGAAGTGCTATCAAATGGAAAGGGTGGAAACAGCTAGAAGATGTGAAGGGAAAAGGCCTTGGATACATGGGAGGAGTGTGTCTTAGAGGTGTGTCAATTTTTTGGACTAGGGACTATCCAGTAATAACACTGAGTTCAATTTTGTATCACTTTGAGTCTAAATTGCTCTGTTAGATTCTGAAATATATCCATGGTATGATAGATTCGTTTTTAAAATGATAGATTCGCTTTACAATCTTGAATCACACATATTGACCCTTGTCTTCTTGAGGCTTTGGAGTCTATCAAGAGTATGCAGATTTCATTTTGGTTAATTTCATTGTTTTCCAGCTTTCCTCTAAAACTGTCCAGCATTCACCTTCCAGGGTAGTGCTGGAACATGTAAGGCCATGTGAGTTGATGAAGGTAATTTATTCCCACCAATCAGAAAATAAGCCACATTGCTTCTGGCTGAGAATTCCATACACATTTTTAAAAAGGAAATGCCAAAAGAGATTTTTTTTTTCACCCCTGCAATACTTAATTTGATTTGTTAAAGGGCTGAAAATTCTCCAGCCAGAAAATCAATTTTCTGGTAGAACCTCAATCTGGGATGGAGCAGATTGGTTTCTCCGAGAAACTGGAGAAACAGGATAAAAAGGAAAAACATATCAGTGTCAACTCCTCCTTTTATTTTTGGTGTTTCTAAATCTGAACATGTGCTCTCTTTCCATATCACTGGAAATCCCTAATGAAGACACTGTCGTTATGTGTCTTAAAGATATCTGGCGATAATTTCTAAATAGCTTAAAACAGAGATCTTTATAAAGCTTTTTGCAGTCATTTGACTTAGCATGCCAGGTAACCAGAACTGTAAGATTTCGATTTGAAATAGATTTTTTGTTGTTGTTGTAATGGTTGGAAGAGGAGCCCGCATTAGCAAAATGTTTTACTACTCTGTCCTCTTTCCCTGATATTGTATAATTCTGAGAGCTCTTAGACCATGATAAACAGGTGATTATACTTCGAATTTCTCTAATGCTCTAACTAGAGGGCATTCAGCTAAATATGCATTTCTAGGAATAAGGATTTTATGGACTCAGGTAATTCTGATTGGAGAATTAAGATTTAAAAGAGACAGAATAGGTGGAAGCAGGTAAAACCGGTGTGTGGAGGTCTGCCCAGAGCTCTTTGAGGACAGAAGACCTGTATTCCCCATCCTTCCCCCACCCACAGCCCTAGATCTGTGACCAACACGCATCTACGATACGCATGAAGCGTTGCCAGCTGCAGAGGGACCAGGCAGGGCCGGTTGGTCTGGTCCCCGGGGAGCCAGGCCCGCAGATAACCCGGCCGGGGAGGGCGGGGCCCCTGCGGCCCCCCCAGCAGTGCGGCCCGAGTCTGTGAAGCCGCCAGTTGCCAAATGAAACCTGAAACCCCGGGCTGCGTCTGAGGGTTGGCCCCACTCAGTTGTTCCAGCCTCCTGCACTGTCTATTTACACATTCGCACACAATCACTCTTTCTAACTTCTGGGGCTCCTCTTTGCGCAACTGCTGGGATTTCTCAAGTGCATGCGGCAACGCAGCCCAGCTCCGGCTGGAAAGCGCCGGGGCTCCGGAGGGTCGCGGAGGCGGGGGTGCTGTCAAGGCGGCGGCGGAGACAGCGGGGACAGCGGAGGAGCGCGGCGCGCGCGCCCAGGGGACGCCCCCTAGCTCCCCACCGCCGCGTGTTTCCCCCGAAACCAGCGCCGCGGGGCGGCCGGGCGAATGGGGCTCCACACTTTCCCTGGCTGCGGGAAGTAAAGGAGCCGCACTGCCCCCTTTTTAATTTTCATCTTCTTTCGGCTTGTCCTGGGAGCTTTTCCTTCGGAGCAGCCACCGTCCCGCATCCGTCGTGCGCTCCCGGCAGGGTAGGTGACGCGGTCGCGGGGGAGGGTGCGAGTCCCGCCGGACGCAGCTGCCTGCGACAGGGGAGGGGGCTGCTGGGGGCGGGGGGACCGCAGGCATCTCGTGTGTGCAGAGTGTGTGTGTGTGTGTGTGTGTGTGTGTGTGCGCGCGCGCGTACGTGTGCTGGGAAGCAGTAGTTGGTAGTATGTGTTTCTGGCTTTAAACATACATGGAATTAATAAAAAAACTCTGTGCAATTCAATTTCCTCTTTTACTGTCCATCTTTCCCTTCCCCCATTTCTGTTTCCACTAGCGTCTTATGAGAGTTTCCAAGATAACAGGCACACACAGGTAGTTTTAACAATAAACATTTTCTGTTTTGGTAAACACAAAACATTAAGGAATCTGTGGTGAATTTTAACCCACTCAAAAGGTTTTGTCTAGTTTTTTTTTTTTTTTTGAAAAGAGTGACATTTTGAGGAAGTATCTATCCTCTCTTAAGAATGAATATGTAATATATTCTCAGTTTTAAAAAATATTTTAGACTGCATTTCTTTTATAAGTACCCAAATAGAAGGGAGATAACGTTACTCTGAATTCCTTAGAGATGTTAGGTTTTCAATATCAACTAGTAGTAGGAAGCCCAGACTTCTTTATAGTCTATGTCTATTTTAATTCATTTGAATTAAACATTATCTCCAAGCAATTTCTGTTTCTGTAATATTTTATGTTATGTTATTCTTTTGTTAATCTTCCAACTCTTCATTGTTTTGTTTCTTTCTAAAAAGAGGAAATAAATAAATCATGCTGGGTATTTAAAATATAAATGTTGTTAAGGGTTTGCTTATTCATAAGGAAAACAATATGTGTTGCTGTGTCTACTAAGTGAGAAAAATTAATTGAAGTCCAAGAATATCTGCCATAGAATTTAAGAGCCTTACTCAATTACTGAGAAGAAGATGGACAGATTAAATACAAACAATATGTGCACTGATTCTAATTAGAATTCAAAACCAATAGTTAAGGGCAAGAATGGATGTTGGTATTGAACTAGGCATCATAAAACATAAAACACACAGCATTTGTACATTAGAAAAAGCCAGAAAACAAGTATAAAGTCACATCAAACTTGTTAAGATTTTGCTCCCCCTTTTAAATTTCTTAATACTTCTTCTCTGGGCATGTTTCAATTTCTAAGAGAGCACAGTAATAACCCCTCCCCTTTTTATCTTCCCTCAGTGCCTCACCTTCAGGTAGCAAGTCTAGAAATATGTTCTTTCTAGAGCCATTACGGAGTTGTCAGAGGTTTCACCTTAGACATCTTGGAAGACTAAGATATTGGCAAAACTCTAAAATAACTAACATCTTCCTAACACTCACAGGAGGTACGTTCTTGGTGGAAGACCTTGAAGTGGGCATGAGGGATAAGCTGAGTCTCTCAGATCTGGAGTTTAGTTTGAGGTTCGTGGAAGGACTATACGACTAGTATGATACTAGGAAGGAGGATCTCTAATTCTTTCTGCATGTAAGAGGCTGTTGAGACTCAGACTGTCCCTGGCTTCCTTACTTAGTTTTATTACTTCATCTTAGGGGTTTGGATTTAAGATGAGGGTGGTTTCTCTGTAATGTTCTTTTGGGCCCTACATATTGTGAACTTGAACATCTGAAAATAAAAACCTGATAGTAAGTGGAAAAGAAGTTCTCAAGAAAAAAAAATCCACCACAGAAATAGCAATGCACCTTTCCAAACAAGAACATAGATTTAAGTGTAAAAGTGTTCTTGGCTGAAATCTCCAGCAAAATCCTTTCAGCTTTTGCTCAGGATAGTAATGGCCAAAGCTCTGGGAGCTTTCATGGATCATGGTTTTATTTCCTGTGTGGTCTTGGACTCTCCAGGGTGAAGGGTGGGGGTGGGCAGGAAGCGTGAGGAATGTGCAGCAGGTGGTGATGAGTAGTTTGAGTCTGATTACTTCCGTGTCTTAGCCAAAGCCTCTTTGGTGTTTACCAACAGCTCTCTTAATAGTTTCGCCGTGACCTACTGGCCCATTGAAGAGTGTTTTCTTTCTGACTCTATTAGTGTCCGGGGTGGCTTCTTAGGGCTGAAAGCAGGCAGTGCCACTGTAAAGTTCAGACCATGCCTTGTTTCCGGTCCTTTAGTGTGTGCAGTGCTGGCTGTAGCACCATCTTACTTATTTGTAGTTATTTTCCTGTGGTATTTTCTGGTCAGCAGAGTGTTCTTTTTCCATGAATTGAGCTATGTAACGCTGATTACTTATTTCTGCCATGTTTTGATTTTTGGTAAAGGTGAGTGCTTTGAAAATACAAGATGGGGAGGTGGGTAGAGGTTCAGCCTGGAGCCCAGTAAGAAGGGACAGCCACCCAACTGGTCACACGTGAGTGTAGAGGAGGTTGATTATAAGGGCCTGGGGCATCTGTCCTATACTGATCAAATTTCACTGAGGGAAAAGCAGAAGAGATTTAAAATGGAAAGATGCCTGTTTATTCTTAAAGCCATGGCTAAAGGACTAAGATATCTCCCAGATGAAGAAGGATATTTAAAAATAGAATAGTAAATGGTCAACTTACCCGTGAAGTTAATGCTCTTCATGTGAAGAGTCAGAACCTCACGCTGAGTCTCGCAGTGGTAACCCATCTGTCTTTGCTCTATGAACTTAAACTTTACAAGGTTCTGTGGTTTCAGCAGATAAGTAAAAGCACATTTGGAGGTAGAAGGATTATTGTGGTGAGAAATCAAAGAATATTCAGTTTTCAGAGGTTATTGTGTACATGTGTGCTTTTAAGCAGTATCTACACTCTACTGTGACATTGCTACAATTGATCTTTATAAAGTACAGATCTGATTGTGTAAGTCCCTTGTTCAAAAACCTTTGTTGGATCCCAATGACATACAATATTAACCCTAAACTCTTTCATATAGTGTCTAAAAGCTCTTCCAAGGCATTTCTTTTTAGCTGCCTCTTCCTATACAAGGGCTCCTCACTGTTCACGCTTCTGATCTCTTGTTCATGGATTCTCCTGGAATGCCCTCTGCCTGGAAAGTCCCTCTTGATTCTTGGTGGCGGACTTCAAGTGGAATTTCCTTTGGGAAAACATACCCAATTTGACGAAAGAAGAACTAATCGTTTCATCTTGTCTGCTTCCATAACATTTTGAACATTTAATAATTATTTTGATAATTTTTATGTATCTCCCCAACCCCTTCAACTACTGAGTTCTTCAATGGCTGGTTTGGTGGCTGTGGAACCACCTGAATCCAAGTGCCCAGCCCAGTGTCTGAAGCATAGTAGACTTCTATTAATGTTTCTTCAATAAATGAGCAAGTAAAGGTGTGACTAAAGTACATAAAATAAAATATATGCAGATAGTTATACCTGAAGAGTTCATATGAAAAATGTCTATTTGGACTCAGAGTTCATTTTCCAAATGTAACAATGCTACAAAACATCATTCACTTTCCAGACCAGCCAACACATGCCTATTAAATCCCTACAATGGATGAAATATTGTGCTTTTTGCAATTTTAAAGCACAAGCAAAACAAAACAAAAACTACTGTGGAATAATTTTTTTCCTTCTGGAAATCACAAAATGCACTTGAGCTTAAAGATGATGGAAACAGTTATAATAAATATACATTTTCCACAGGTTTTTTTTTATTATTATATTGTAAAATCTGTAATCTGTGAAATCCCAGTGGGAGGGTCCTAGATTTATCTGTGAAGACTAATAATGAAGTTAAATTTGAAGATCCTGCTTGTGGAATGGGCAATAATAGTCTTAATTAAGCAAAATAGAAATACTAATTTTGGCTATTTAGTAATTATCTTGAGTACTAGTACTTGAGGGAAATTAGATTTAATTAAAGGAGAATATGAAGGTGGATGGAGAGAAGGAAATTTTGAGGGGCACCTTCTTTTATGTTACTGATTCTTTACTATATTGACTTTCTTTTCATCTCATTTTAGAATTGAGACAAATCCAAAATTTCCTTCTGAAAAAATTTGTCTTTTTCTATAGTTATTTTTGCTGTCTAACATGTAGAAAGGTAGTTACACTTCATTTGGGCAAAGATACAAATGGGCTCATTTCATTTCAGAGCAATGTTGCCTTTGTTACTTGCATTCCTGCTATTTAGCATGTGGATAATACATATTTCAATCAAGAATTCATAATACTAGTGTCTCAGGTACCAGCCAGGGACTCCAGGCTCAAGTTGCTTCTTATTGAGCATCTCTGAGTGGCCTGGGAGAACAAGCATTGATATTTAAGTGTAATAGTCTAACCACTCATTTCCCTAAATTTTCTAATCAAATTATATGACCAGAAACTTACCTCCCCTAATCACATTACAACACCTTTTTCCCTTTTGTGAAAATGTCTTCATTATACTATGCTTTATATGATACTTTTTTTTCCCTGAGGATCAACATAAAAGAGATGGGCTGCATAGAAAATGTCTTGGCACTTCATGTATTTCAATATTCTTTCTATAAAGATCTCCATGATAAATTCATCTTTGCCTTTCCTACTAGGAGTTTTTAAAAGTGTGTCTCTTCTGATTAACTACTGTGTTGTTGTTGTTGTTGTTAGAAAAAGAGGCTAAGAAATCACCATGCTTCTCATTTTGGCTTCTCACCCAAGCTTCTGCTCAGAACTAAACCTCATGCTCAGTTGTACCCTCGTCAACGTTTTCTTATGACACAATTTGCACCTTTTTATCCTTAACTTTTAATACATTTATGATACCCATACTTTTTAACTAAGCTTAGTTAGCTTAGTTAAGTCTATTATGGAACTAGGTTGAACTACCTCACTTTGTATTTTTTACCCTGTTTAGACATTTAGTTAAATATTTATATAATTCTATTGTGTATCTTTAGTCTAGTATTTTAGAGCCAATAATTTTTCCAAAGTCATTTTTTGTGGTTCCTTGAAACATTCCAGGTATTACTTTTACATTCAAGATAGATAAATTGATCTTTCTTTCAAATGTTACATTTCTT